GTGGATATATATATATGAATGCTTTTACCATTATGATAATACATGTTCACCTTTTTTTAATAATTCATTTTTCTCTCGATGTATTCAGTTACGTTGTCATATGATTCATCATCATCTGTGGATGAATTTTCATTGAAAGTAAATCCTTTTAGTAAGACGATATCGGTTTCTACTCCGATGACCTATTCTCCAGTACAATAAATTACTGAGGTTTGCACTCCTCGGTTTTTTTTTTATAAATTAGCAATCTGAAAAAATAAAAATATTTTGAAATGTCGAAATCTCATTAATTGCTGAGTTGCGTTCGAGTATGAGATCACACCTGAGATCTGGCGAACTGATATCTGAACTCATGTTCCGGGTCTGTTGCAGGATACTATTATAAATATAAGTTCAATAATGATAAATCTTGTCTATCGATTCGACATTTTTTTTTTCATATTAATTTTGCTTTCATTTTCTTCGAATGAATAGAAAACCTATTAATATACAATCTTTTTTTGTAATAATTTATCATTTCACAAATGAAAGAAGTTCTATTTTTATCTATTCAAAATCTTATTTTTTACATTATTCAATGAACATCATCCGATATAAACAATTGCGAGCGAGGTAGACAAAAGCAAAAAAAATATTCAGTTCTTTTTTATTTTATCCATCATATTAAATCTATTATAAATACTCTATTGATGTTCCTTAATGAATGTCGAGAGACATATAGGTATATGACAACTGTGATTGACGTGTGTGTGTGTGTGTGTGTGCCGTTGTCACGCACATTCAGAAAAAAAAATCATTAATTAATTGCTTTTGTTGTTGTTGTTTTTTTTTATACTCCACATGTCATTAAAATACATAAAAATAAAATATATTATGAATGTAAGTAAACAACATATATGATAAGTATGTACACAGATGATCAAACGTATTTATGTTCGTGGTATGAGAGAATGTCTGAAGATTATCTTTTTGTCTTTTTATGCATATCATTTGATGAGTAAAGTCAATAGAATACAATTGCTCAAAACGAAAAACAAAAAAAAAAAAATAAAAAAGAGAAAGATAATTGAATTCTTCAGAGAGAAAACAAAAATGTGAAATGAATGCCTTTAAGCAATGCTTTTCAATTTTCACTTAATGATGATGTTGGCGTCATAACAAGTTACATATATATTCATATACTTCACACTATACACTAATCCGTCATCTCAAGCTATCAATTGAAAGAAAAGAAAGTGTCTATTAAATACAAGTGAGGATTTATTTTTTGTTAATAAGTAACTCACTCGACACCAATGACTAGTGGTATAAATAAATTCATGTTTGTATTTTTTTGTTTTACAAGAGCAAATTCAAATCAAGGATATTTCATTGTCTATTCAACAAAAAAAAAAAGATGTTATTGACTTTCGTTTTTCTTTTTCATTGATTTAAGAGAAACAAAATAATGAATTTCAGTTCATAGTAACATTCTTTTTTTTTACCACTTTCAAAGCAAAAACTCATCGAGTTATTTTCATTGGTTTGTTTTAATCCTTTTTTTATTATTGGTTTATTTCATCATCATCTTTTTTTTTCTCTCAACAAAAATCTCATTGGATAAACATAGAAAAGAAAAGAAAAAGTGAAAAAAATCCAACATACTGCTTGTCAATCAACATCGACTAACGATCATCGCGTGACATACTCATTTCTCTTTTTTTTTGGGTTTCTCTCGCAACAAGATTGTGCGTGTTCAATGAATAGTTTTCATCATCAGTTCTCATCTATTTGAAGTTTCTAAACAATATTCTTTTCTTTTTCTTTTTTTTTGTTTTCAAACAAAAGTGGCTTCTGTAAATAGTCAAACAAAATATTCTTCACCACCATTAGGTGATTATTATTCAAATTATGCATCAATGACAAATGATCCATCAACATTAAAATTTGGTTATACAGATCCATTTTCATTTGGATTTAGTCAACATTCAACATTATCATATAATGGTTCATCACAAAGAAAACAACGACGTGAACGTACAACATTTTCACGTGCACAACTTGATCAACTTGAAACATTATTTGCTCGAACACGTTATCCAGATATATTTATGAGAGAAGAAGTAGCTATGAAAATAAGTTTACCAGAATCAAGAATACAAGTAAAACGAATTCTTTTTTAAGAAAAAAAGAAAAATTTATATTTGTTTTTTTATTTTTATTTTTTTGTAACTATAGGTTTGGTTTAAAAATCGCCGTGCAAAATGTCGTCAACAAGATAAAGCAATTAAAAAACCAACAACATCATCATCATCATCATCAAATAGTAGTTTACATGAAAAAAATGAAATATCATCTCCTTGTAAACGTGAAATAAAAAGTCCGAATATTCGTCTTAATCATCGTTCACCGTCATCAATATCCAGTATAAATGGTGGTGGTGGTGGTGGTGGTGGTGGTACAAGTTCAGATAATTCAACAACATCAGCAGCTGCATCTTTAGCTGCATGGTCATCACAAGCTGTTGCATATCATCATATGTATCCAACATCATATAGTCCAAATCAAGCACTTTTTTATACAAATGATCCAACAACAAATAATTCAACAATCTATGGAACAACTTATAGAAATCAAGATATGGATTTTCTTCAACCAACATCAATGTATGGACGAACAAGTGAAGAATTTATGAATGGTTGGACAAATGCACATCATCATCATCATCATCAAAACTTTAAAATTTTCAATTAATATTGTATTTGTAAGCGAACAGTGTAGAAAAGAAAGAAAAAAAGCTGTTAAATAAATGAAAAAGGTATTTAATTGGATGGAATGATAAATGTTGACATATTGTGATGGGTGGCAAGATTAGCTTATTTGTCAATAAAGTAAAAGAACTATATGAAAAGTCAATCAAGAAAAAAAAAAAGCTTGACTTTGTCATTATTATTCTCTCGCTCTCTTTTTTTTTTTGACATCAATTAGTTTTTTTTTTTATATTAGAATAAGAATAGAAAGGATTAACAAAAGTCTATCAATGAATATAGTTCCTTTCTTGATCAACATATATATTGCTGAAGAGAAGATCATATTGGACGTTACTAGTCGCATCTTAAAAAAGAAAGAAAAACATACATTGATTTATTCATCAATATACAAGTAGATAAGATCCTATGATGATAATTAAACCATAACTAACAAGACATTCTTTTTTTTTCTTTCTTTCCTTAAAGATATCTTTTTCATTCATGTTGAGTGCATCAATATAGATCATAGTTGTATATGCAAGCTTGTATCATAAGCCGATTAGTCTGGATTCTCATTTTCGATCGGATGGGTTAGATTATTTTTTTTTTTAACTAGAATAATGCAAACAGTAACACAAGTGGGTGGTATTTAAGCCGATGGTTTCTTTTCTGTTCCCACCTGAGTTTAATACTCACCATTCTACTTCAAAAAAGAAAAAGACACACGACACAATACGACGCCTGAAGCATAGATTATCTTATTCACGGCGTCAGAATGACACTAAAGAAAAAAAAAACCGGGAAAAAAAATAATTACACTTTTATAGATTCAATTTTCGTAATAGAAAAAAAAAGACAGAAGGTCGAAGTTATTGCCGTAACTAGATGACATCTCAGCACCTTCTAAAAGGGTTTGAATCTTATCTACAAACGTTCTAAGATGGTCTCTATCCTCTTTAGAAATATTTAGAGACAGAGTTGAACCTTTCTTACAACTTTTTTTCTGACTATACCACTAATCTAAATAATTAAAATGGTCATTCATGATCAGTTTCAGATGAAAGAATTGAAATGTTGACTAGATCAAGGTGGTAAAAGACATCTTAAATTACAATGTCAATAATAGATGACATGTTTATCAACAAACGATATACGTCTTTAGTATTGATAACGGATTATTCAATTCTGTTAAAAGAAAAAATGTTTTTTTTTTCTTTTTTTTTGAAGTGTAATTCCCGTACATATGAAATAAAGAAGAAATCGGTCTTATTTTTTTTTTTGTTTCAAATAAGACAACCATTCAGCACGTTTAGTAAATTGATAGTCGATTTCGAACAGGTGTCGAATTTATATCAACTAGGAATAGTAAATCATTAAATGGCACGTTCAATTTTTCTTTTTCACATATATACATCAGACAACAAATTATATATATATATATATTTTTTTTTTCTTCTTTTTTGTTCTATTCTTCCTATGTATGTTTAGAAAAGATGATGGTGCATTTAAGAAGGAAGACAATTGTTAACTCACGTTTAAATGTTATTTATTTTTTGTTTTGTACTATTAAATAATAAATTGTAGATTTCAGAGAGAAAATTATTTGTTATATAAAAGTTATACAATTTAGTTTATTATCTATACTAGTAGTGCCGAAGTCCGGAAGAGAGTGAAGGAGGCTCAGTCCTCCCTCGTCCAAAATTCTGACTTTTCCATTGTATGAGAGTCGAATATAATCTATGTCATTCTAAGACTATGAAATTTTCTAAAATTTGTGTTTAGAATACAGTTTAAAGTCGTACAATATTTATCATAAAAAAATCACTTGGGATGAATAACAAGATGATACAATCGAAAATTTCTCGTCGATTCTTTATCAATAACCTGTCATAGAAACATTGGATAAATTTTCTTCAATAAAATTACATTGATTTCTTCTAAGATAAAATTAATATTTGATATGATGATCAATGAAAGAAATGAAAATATTTTGTGTTCTATATTCATATATATATATTTCATGAATTTTTTTTTCAATTGTTTAATAAAAATAAAATATAATAGATGTCGATATATTTTTGTTTTATTAATATTTTTATTTAACTGGTCATTGTTATCAACCATACGATAAGATGATCGATGAGAACATTCATATAGAACACAAGAAAAAAAAAGTCACACGAATGATTATAAGTAAAAATATTTATTTTTAATATATTTCAGTTACTAAAATGTGCTGAGAGAGTAAAAAGCAGTTTTATAAAGAGCGATATGGGCTTTGATACTCAAAGATTTCTCAACGCTATCGATGAAGAATTAATTTGTATGTATTTAAAAATAATAATTAATCAATTAAATATTTATTATTATTATTATTATTTCTTTATATTCAGGCTCTATTTGTGGTGGTGTTCTACAAGATCCTCTTCAAATACCATCATGTGAACATGTTTTTTGTCGAGTAAGAAAATCTTTATTTTATTATTGTTAAATATATTTTAGTTTTTTTTTGTAAAGACTTGTATTGAAGAATGGCTTTCACAAACACAAACATGTCCCATCGATCGAACACCAATAGAAATCAATCAATTAAAGCTCGTGCCACGAATTATTAAAAATTTACTGAATCAGTAAGTTTTATTCAATAGAAAGAAAAAAGCGTTACAATAAGATAAGGATTTCTTTTTCTTTTCATTACAATGACTCATGTAATTGTGAAATTTTCAATTTAAAAAAATCATATTCTTATCGAAAAAAGTATTTTCGATTAGTTGATTTCATATATTACAATGGAGATGTATGTTTTGTTAGTTAATAAGACTATACGTATTCGGATCAAATGAAAGCTTTCACTAATAAATTTGAAATATACGCTGCCAGACTGACACATTCGAATTTTAAAGTATTATACAATATACGTCAGGTGCTTGCAATTCAAAATATTAGCAGAATTTTTTTTTTGTGATAGTTGAATAGATCTTACCGAGTTGTGTATTGAAATAAAAAAAAACCATTTCACGGGAAATATCCAAGATATAACAGGAGAAAATAGATTTCGAATTCTAACTTTTTGTTTTTAATTTGAAACATACTTTTTCTTATACAACTCGATGTGGTCTATTCAACTATCACAAAAAAAAACTCTGCTGATATTTTGAATTACAAACACTTTTCATATACTGTAAATACATTAAAATCCGAATATTTCGATCTGACAGTCTATATATTGAATTTATTAGTGAAAGCTTTAATTTGATTCAAATATGTCTATTCTTATTAACTAACAACAAAAATACCTCCATTATTAGTTATAAAAAATTGATATTTCGCAATCGGTAAGATTAAATGCCTTTCAAGTTTCAATTTTTCTGTTTCACAATGTCCTAAAAGTTTGGGCATATTGTTTTTTTTTTATTCGCCTTTCGTGTGTCAAAGTATACGAAAGGCATAGATTCTTATCATTTTTTCTCACCCCCTACTTCCTCTCATAGGGGCAAAAAATGATGCGACAGCTGAAAATTTTTCTCATACAATAAGATAATCTGCAATGTCAATGTACTTTATGTAAAATAAATCTGAAAAAGTTTTGTACTCGATCTAAACTTTGAATTGCAATTGTTTTTTTTTTTTATGATTTCCAATCAGCATGTTTCAAAACAATCAAAAATATACTATAGAATCATTTTTACTTTTGTTTTTTTTTTATTATATAATGGATAGAATATAAAGAGAAATAAGCATTTTTCAATGATAAGCTTTTGAAATCGTTAAATAAAATATATTCATATATATAAAAGAGAAAAATTGATTCTAGAAATTATTAATTCAAATATAAAGCCTTTTATGACTATAATGAATTACTAAATCTCATTTATTTGGATGTAGATTAGTCTTCGATTGTTCCTTCTTTCAACTTTTAAAAGCTACATATCTAATTCTCGATTTATTCGATTTTTAATCGAAGACCTTGATAACTGTTCCTGACATTTGTCAATAAAAAAAAAATATTTACCGAGAGAAATACTCCACCTGACTAATCGCTCTTGAGTCAAGACTATATGCATCATATAAACCCTAATGAATTTTAAGTCAATGTCGCAGTCCTTCTAAGGAAAGCTGATTTTTCAAATTTCAAATTGAAACTTTGCATAGAGATGGATTCTAACGAGAAAAGTTTATTATAATATTTTCAAATCTTTTGAGTAGAACAACAATTCGAGTTATAGATTTTTTTTTTTGATAACTTATTAAAAATCTATTTGTATGATAATATTTTTAGTTTGGAAATTAAATGTGAAAATGAAGGTTGTACAACAACAGTCAAATTAGATGTTCTTGCAAATCATTTAGTTGATTGTGAATATAATAAAGAACAATCAATTCAATGCGAAAATGGTTGTGGAATGATAATTTCAAATGGTAACCATCGAGTAAGATTTTCATTTATTAAAATAAAATAAAATTTTAACTTTAATTTTAAATTTAAAAAAAAAAACTCAAGAATCATAATTGTGTTCAAGCATTAAATAGTGAACTTAATAGTGTTAAACATGAATTAGAAAAATATAGACATGATGTTGAATTTTATAAAACTGAAATATCTACACTTCAGGTAAAATATTTTTGAGCAAAATTTTCAAGATTATATTATTTCTTTTTTTCCTGAATTCAAGGAATTTATTCGTGTTAGTCGCGCTAATTCAACAGTATCAGATTCATTTGAAGATGGAGAACATGATGCAACATTACGGTATGAAAATAACTATACAAATAAAGAATTAGA